ATATTGAATACTGAATTATTTTAAAATAACTTTCAGAATGGCCTAAATCAATTGTTTTGTGCGTTGTCAAGATGCAAGGACCTCAAAAAACAAGACACAAGTGAAAATTCTTCATGTGAACCCTCTATATCACAGAAAAATGTATCTTCAGTAATACGGTAGTGGATGCAAAGGGCAGTCTTTGCACTAACTCAGTGCTCAGATCTGACTATTCTCATTATTTCAGCTATGTACCTTTTTCTCCTGTCAAACTAAAGAGTCAAACCCGCACGCTCCAATCACATCTGCTTCACAGATTCATGAAATGCCAATCCTATACCCCCGCCTCCTAAGGTGCCAAGCAGAGTCCACAGTAAATTTTATAGAAGATGTCATAACTGAGCCTTTCATCTCCTTCACCTCTCAGAGGCTTCTGTTGAGCAAGTCAAAATTTAACTCTGGAAACATATGTTCTATAATTCTGTTACATCTCAAACTTCAAAAACTGAGGGTGAGGTATGATTAATAGTTTTTTTATCTCAATTTAATAAAAAAAAAAATCGGTGTTTCTTCTCTTCTCCCTGGTTTTAAAGATTTGCTGTGGCATTTTTTTTTTAGAAATTTCAATATCTTGATGAGCATGAAGACAGATCAAGGTTCATAGACTGCTGTATGCTTTCTCTTTTTCCATAACCTCCTGTAATGTAATTGTTTACTTAAATACTTTTACAAGTTAAAAAATATTTCAAAATACTCATAAAACTAGAGGCACTGGGCTGTGTTTAAGATTCCTAGAAAAGACACTACTATTTTCCTTAAGGTCAAAATTTGTTTGCCTCCCAAGAGATAACAGTTTTGCAGCAGAAATTACTCAAAGGGTCTTGTCAGCTCTTCTTATGTTTATTGCTGGCTTTCCACTATGTGAGAGGATTTCTTTACAAGACCAAGGATTATCGTCCTTCCAGCATGTTTCCAATGCCCAACTTTTCATTCTGCAACTCTTGTCTCTTAAGCAAGAATAAGCAACTCTTGCATAGTCTCAGTGAAACATAAAGGATACTACCTTGTTATGGAGCAGTTCTACTTGGTTTTATTTTGGCAGAGGATCTATTTTTAAAGGCCACCAAAACAGCTAGAACCAAACAGATTGGTCTGTTCATGTCATACTTGATTCAAGAAGAGGTAAATATGAAGAGGTTTTAAATAAAAACTAATGCAGATAGAAAGTAAATTAGTCTAATTATCACTGTGCACACCGGGGGTTTTTTGAGATGCCTTATTACCTTACACACAGGACTAGTTACAATTTATCTTCTATGGGAAAAAAGGTAGCAAGATTGATGTCATTTGTCTATCTGATTTGTATGTATCTTTAATGAACAGAGCTAAGCATACAACAAAAATATGATTCAATTGCAAAAATAATTAACTTTTGTTCTAGTTGTATCATTTTGATAGTAATTTTCAATATGCCTTCAAGCAGGTGGAATGCATGGAAACCTTCCAGTGAATGCTTGCATACTTACTTTGATTCTTTCTTCCCGTGTCATAGCCCGTGAAAATACGTGAGGCAACTTCAGGAGTTAACACATGTAGGTAATGCTTTAAAATTAATTTCTGCAGTGGCAGGTGAACAGTAGACTGCCTTCTTGGGTAGCTTTTTTCCCCACTTCAAAGTTAACTATGTGTCCTGGCACATATCAGCTGCATTTACCACAGCCTCTGAGAAATCACTGAAGGTAAAAATAGCGCATGACCGTGGAGAGTGTCACTAGTACGTACCGGAGAGATGGAATTTCACTGTCCCACTATTTACTGCTCCATCAAGTAGTGTGTGTGACCTGACACTTAGAGAGATGAGGCACCTAGACAAGGTCAACTGAAACGACCCCTGACTCTTCCAATCTGTGCTTGCAGACTTATCCACATTCTCATGACCATGATACACTACTGATTTGAGAAAAATGACACACTTTGGGAAAAAACCATGGCCACACATAATTTTTTTGATCTTCTGCCCATAACCCAAGAGAAAATGCAAAAGCAATGCAACATGTATTTTTGTCTGGGCTTTCTTAGTTGCACTAAGAACACTACAAGCACTATCTCTAAAGCAGAGACACTAGCAAATATCAGAAGTGGTAAATAACTCAGTGTAACAGAACTCTTTAGATTTGGATCGTACTTGCAGTTCTGCTAGTACCAACTTTGAGATCTCCTGAGGAAAACTACTCCACATTTTGGTATTTACAGAGACCTGATACATCTGCCATTAAAGAAAACAATTCTGTATCTATAGATTTATACCTATAAAATTATCTATAACATTATTATTAACAAGTAATAGTATCCTGCTGATATTTACTACTCAGCAATGCTGTGTCACTACATTTCAATTATTTTTTTCTCTTTTAAAATACTCTTAAATTACTTCTGCACTGACATTTCCTACATAGGATGTACCAAGTTTCTGCTTCTCATCTTAAAGCAGCACTAGAAACACTAGAGCACAATGCGTTTTCGTCCCTTTTTCTCAGTTATGTTTCTTGATGCAGTGCCAACTGATGCTGTGCTCACCGTTGGCAAGAATAGCTCCTACTGGTCCATACTACCTTTAAAGCTAGGGAGTTCACACCTAAATTAGGGTAAAGAGCAAAGACAATACATCTTTTGTCATGAATGCCAAGGATGTTATCTCTGAGTCAAGTGATATCGACTAGCTTGTATGCCTATCGTTTGTAGGGTGTGTGGTGAGCAGTCATAGAAGCTGGATGAAGACTTGAACCCACCTCTTTCACTTAACATTGCATACATATATATCAAGCTATTCAGGACAGGATTTTTCAGCTGACTTTCATCATCTAGCTTATTGCTGAGAATTCCTTATTGAAAAGCACTGCGAAACATTTCTTTTTCAATTGTGTAAAGTATTAGCAGAAAACATCTTTTAGTAGCAAAGAAAATTCAGTTTACTGTTCTCATCCCCAGTACACAGCTATCCTTAATTTTATGCTGTTCCAGGAATTAGGGCTCTACTAGTGAAGATTCAGTATATGTTCCATCAACAGAAGACAGACTTGCAAATAATGCTACTTCTTGAACTGAAAACAGACTAACTGAAAACCCTCAATTGTTTAATTCCTGACAGTGACAGAGCAAAAGCCAGCCCATTTTAGTATGCTGCTAGAAAAATACTCAAGTTGTTTCCAGCTGTTCAAAGAATTTGAGTCCTAATTTCAGGTCATATAAAAATCACACATCTACTTCAATCTAGTCAGAACACAGATATACTCTGGGTGAAATTTTAGTCTCAGTGCTAGAGATTCCTTTCACATTATCTGCAGCAGAAAGATTATCATTCTTGAAACTTGAGTTTCAGGCCTCCTAAAAAAAATTCTGACAGTTGTTATTTTCTGAAAAATAACTGGGCAAGTTTAAGTGATTTTTAGCACATAGCAGATAGAGCCATCAGGCTAAGAAGTTGATGCACATAGTGCACCAACTTTTTTGTGATAGAAATTGCTGAGAAGAAATTTCCAGAGATCATTAGAACCTTGTTTGTGAAGAGCCAAAGGTAACTTAACAAAATATGAAGAATATGCCCTCTCCAAGCCTCCACCTAATTTTTACAAAAATAAGTTCTTAATGCTCAAGTAATCACCAGGAACATTAGTTGTGTAAAAGTGGAAATATGTATATACATGCTAGGAGCATAACTACATACTAAAGCATGCACATACAAACATTTTTTGTTTTAAAAAGAAAAGCTTAAAAACGTCTAAAGAGAAACTATTCAAAAGAAGTGACCTACTTTGAGTTCACATTCAACCCCCAGTAGAGCCATGATCTAAAAGGTTTATGTTTGCAAAACCAGAAACAAGCCTATATGCTTCTAAATGCTTCTAAACACTCTTAGCACAAATTCGATCTCATTTTTACTACCTTACACACTTGATGTTAGTTTTGGTTTAGCTAATAGGAATGCAATCAGCAGCACGTATTATTACCGAACCTATCATCGGAATCAGAAAATAATGGTTTTCTACAGTTGAGACAAGTATGTATGAGACCAGTTAAGTATGCATTACAGGCTCCAGTGAAAACCAAAATCTAGCAGTTACTGCTCTAATGATACAGTATATAAAAAAAAATTTGTGAGAACCTGTTTCATTTAATTTTCATGTCAGTCTATGTTTGAAATGTAAATGAATTATTTATAACTATTTTAAAATACATTTTGTTTAAACCTAACATCCTGCACTAAAAAAACATGAAAACACAAGTTATTATTCTACTTTGGCATGCCAGATGTACTTCCATTGCACAGAGAGACACATAAAGCACACACACAAGGTAAAGCTGTTATGTTTTTTTTCTCAGCAGCCTTAGTCTCACTCATTTGCTGGATGGATTTCACCATGTTAGCTGGTGTCTCAAGGGCCGTCTGAGAGACTCACACATTGGAAGTTTCATGTATTTTTAAAACTGCAATGCACAGAGGTAGAAGGTGAGGACTGACAGCCTTCCAAGGCATTGCTGTAATGCAAATACAAATAAGAACTGTTTTCAAAAGCAGGCGTGTATTTACTACAGCAGGCAGCAGGATTATATTCCATTCTCCATCTGCAAGCTTCAAAAATCATGTGGAATACTTATTAAAACATGAATGTGCATCTTCCCATATTCATGTTCACTGTGTGAGTACCTAAAATATAGCAGAGCTATTAAACAGAGGAATGACATCAACTCCCTTCTTCAAACATACCTTGTTTTTCACTTTATAATGGAATGTTTTTTTAGGTAATTTTGCTATGCATATTTATACCAAGACCCTTATATTTGTATATAGGTAATAAAATGTAACAATAATGAATAAACAAAAACACCTAGACTTGTGAGTTGAGCTGTCTATATCACATTTTCATATCAACCTTTTAATAAAGCCTAGGGAAAACATTTTACATGAGCAAAGATCTATCTAAAACAATCTAAAAAAAAATCTAAAAAGTAGAAATTCTTACCCTAAAAAACTCTTTAGTGGAGCCAGAATCTAATGTCCCATAAGCAATTTCTGTTTGCTTGGAAAGATCCTCTGCACTTTCAATGGGAGACACCATCCTCTCAACCGTCAGGAAGGCAGCTAAGTTAGCCGTGTAGGATGAGATTATGATGAGGGTAAAGAACCACCACACACCTCCAACAATGCGCCCCGACAGGGATCTAATAACAAGTATGAAATGGATTTGTAAAGTGAAATGAAAGTCCTAAAAAGGAACATATGTTTTACAGTTTTACACAAATGACGCATTATACTATAGGGAAGCGTTTCAGGCTATCTCACAGCGCAGCTCTGCATGCTCATCAGGTGGGAAATCAAGGCATTCTCCACTATATCTCCTGGACTTTGCTGAAATCAGGACTCCAGAGTTTACATTTGGGAGAACTTAGTGATCCAGTTCTTCAAAGTTTTCATCACTCTTGAAGGAAACTGCTCCCACCGCAATGTGCTATATTTAACCTATAAGCTTACTGCACCCTCTGAAGTGATTTCGTGTGACATTACGATGAGGATCAAACAAAATCAGAGAAAGAGTGCTTTCAGAAAAACCAGTATGCACTTTAAAATCAAGTGCCTTTAGCCTGATTATTTTCCTAAGACATTCAGACACAGACTGATTTCTGCTGTGGACAATCTGTACAATAGCATTATTTGTAATAAAAGCTGGCCCAGGAAATATCTATAGCCTAAAAAGTGCACACAACTTTTGAAAGATACAAGCTTTTAACAAATGGAGGACTGGACATGAAACAATCAATGATAATACAGGAAAATGGTGAAGAAAGTATATTTTTAAAAATAATAATAATCTGATGTTTATAACTGCAGCAGGTGGGCTCTTATGGATCTGTGTTTTGCATCTCCTGCTCAAGAAGAAAGAAGAAAAGAGAACTCAAGAAAACATACAGAACAGCATAAAGTACACAACACAATAATTTCCAATACTAGAAAATATAAGAGAAATATTGATTCTGCATTATTGTCAAACTTGACCTTTTTTAAAACGATCCTTTAAACTTTGAAATTAATTGCGACTTTGTTTCTAAACAAGACATTATAGGAAGTAGTACATAATCTTTGGAGATGTGCTTAATTATTTGGCAGAAATGTGCATGTAGTTGAAAGTCTAGTACTAAGGAGTTGCAGGAGCTTAGGTACGTCTTGATGCGACTCCTCTATCTATTAAATAAACAAATTAGAAATCATTCACCCAGCCTACTGTACTATAAATGAGACTACAAACTAATTCTGACAGCATATATAGATAGATATAACTACATATATATACATTTAAACATGATAGTTATGTAAAGCAGATTTATTAAACTGGGAACAAAAATAAATAGAATCAATTCTGGACAAATTATTTCTACTAACTGCTATTGTATAAAATGTCTGTGGTAATTCTGACACTAAAAGATTTATTCCATGCCCCAACAGACACTAATTCACTCTACTACAAGAAAATCAAGTCATATAAGGTACAGAATGTGTTATTCAAAGGACCATAAAAAAAAATTATTTCAAGGTCCTTCTAAACTGAGATATATTCTGCAAACTACTCCTTCTGTCACCTTTAAAAAAATATTACATTTTGACAGGGAGGTAATTTCAGTATAAAATAATTCTACAAGTAAAATATTGAGTTATATGATATACTGAATATATTGTATTACGTATTTGTAATACAATATGTCCATGTGTATTTAATAACCACCACCTTCATGGCACTTTATATTATATTGATGACACCCTCTGTAATTGACAATAATCTTCAGAAGCCCACGATCTGTGAGCAAAGTTGCAACCTACTTTGTGAAAAAAGAACAAGCTCAATACCAACCCAAACATTATGCTCTCATATGACATTTTAAAAGTAAAATTATTTGGGGTGTCATTTGTATTCAAAATTCCCCCAGATGGTCTGTCCCAGTTAAATAAATAATCTCCTTTTGTATGTACATTTCAAAAAGTTTCTAAAGATTGATATTTATATGCTAGTATGAACCCACATTTTAGAAGCACCTAATTTACCAGACCTTTAAGTACTGGTAAATTAACAACTTCTGTGCACAATTACATAAATTTTTGCACCACATTTTATACTTAGAAAGGTATTATCAGGCAGAACTGAGAGCACACTCACATCTCAAAAAAAGATGAGGAAAACTTTGCTATAAGTTATTGTTATCATTATCATATATTATTCTACTCTATTGTTTCCGTGCTACCCATGAGGAAACATGGGGACTGCTACTATCGACTTTTTCCAGATGGTCTAGTCTTACTCACTAACACCGTGTGTTTCAGTCAGGGAGCTCTAGTTACCTGTCTGCTCTAAAATTCTTACAGTGGTTGTCATTTTTATTAGAGAAATGATAACATTAGTGCAAAATTTAACTTCACAAAGGTATTTTGCTGATGTCTGAAGGTACTCCTTTTCATATTTACAGTGATTCATCTGCAGAGAGGTGAAATCCCATAGTGATAGTTTTGGTGCATAACCAGAAGTAACAAGTGGTTTTGGCCCTTTTTTACTTTTAGAATAAACAGATGGTATACAAACTAACCATTGTCCTCAAAATTATGCTTGCAATGAAATAAAGCACTGTTAGTTTCACTGAAACTAAATCTTGAATATGCAAAATTATTTGAGTTTCATGCACCTTTTATTATTATCATTATTCTTCTATTACCTTTCAAAAGCTATCAAACTGCAAAACAACTGTTGTGCTTTCATAGCCAGTAAAATAATAATAATAATAATAATGAAAATCATTATACTTCTATACCCTTTGAATAAAGCTTTAAAAAAAAAAATTTGTAGCTTAAAGGGGACTTTACAGACAACTAAACCTGTGAAGCATGTAATGGATACAAAAACACCACAGGACTGAAATTAACACAACTTCTCATGACCTGCAAAAACTTGCTCTGTCTTTTTTCTTGTATACAATTCTTACCATTTTATATGCCAAATCCATTGTATCTTTCATCATAGAGCCTGGCATCTCCCACTCTGATATGGCAGCCTTTACACAGAATTGCTTAAGTTCTCACACAATAAATGCTCTGCTATTTCTGCAGTAGAAAAACTCGAAAACCTGCTGTTGCCTTTTGGGATGCATTACATATATAAGAAATGCTCCCTTGGTGCCATTTGTTTTGCACACCAACCACTAGACTTACTAAAAATTGACCTGTTCCCTCTCTTAACTTTAGGACGTTTACAAGAAAGTTAAACTTAAACCCTCCAGTTGCCCTATTCATTTGTTACTATAGTTCCTTCAAGCAGCAAGTAGTTATTTACCTACTTACTTACCACTTTGCTGAATCAGGGCTAGAACCACTTGTGCCCAAGCAAAATAGAATATTTAATGAACTGCAAAGGAATTAACTTAAGTGCTTTACAGTTGCCCCTAATAAAGCAGATGAAAATCCATTAGGAATTAAGCTCTTATAAACTGGACCTTCAGATTCATTTTAGCAATTTCCTTTGTGACTTTTCTAAAACTAGGCCATGGAAAAACAGCAGTCTTTTGCAACTATTCACATGAAATTAGAACCATCACATGACTTTTATTTCAGTTCAAGGCTCTCCTGGGGAATAACAGTGGGTTAATAACTGTGTTATGCTATGCAGTGAGTTTTAGAGGGAAAATGCTGCCTGTGTAGTTTGCAACTAGTGTTACCCCTTTTTCCCATTACAGTTGTTGTGAACCATATGCACTGTCAACTGTAAAATGGGAATATGCAGCAAAAACACGGTACCCCTCCAAGAAGGCATGAAATGATGTGAACCTTATGCATTTTACAGTCTCGGCATGGTGTATATAACTTCACTTGGTAAATGTATGATCGGCATTAAGACAATATCGATCAAATACATCATGAACCTGCTTTTGTTTCAAAGACTTCTATGATTGTAGGGAGGGAAAAAACAAAGCAATTAATTCCTCTCCAAGAGTGAAAATATATGCACCACGAACCTCCTCTGGCTGAGACGGCTGAGACGAAAAATGCACAAAGTTGAAATGAGTGAGTAACCAACCTTGGCGAAATATCGCATCCTTGCTGCATAAAGGCACCCAGGGAAAACCAGAGACTATTAAATATCCCAAATTCATTAGTTGATTCATTAGTTTGCGTTTCTCTTCCATCTTCGAATTCCTCAGTGTGCCACTCGTATGGGCTAAATCTGCTGACCAGGAATAAAACTACACTGACCCCAATGTAGGCAAAAACAATGCACATCCAAATTTCATATGCTAATGGATCAAGAAATGAAAACACTCCTGGCTTGGACTTCTGAGGCTTCTTGATCATTATTGATATCCCCAGGCTCATAAAGGGCTTTGAGAAGTCAATCACCTCTTCTCTCACCAATGTTATAGTTAATGGAGCAATTGCAATATCGGCTTTCTGTAAAGGAAGAAAAAAAGGAAATAATAGCTAACATAGTGCAAAGAATGGTTTCGTTACTGTTGCATTTCACAAATGGAAAATAGGACAGCAGAGACTCTGGTAACATTTGTTTCACTGAGAACATCCTATGGAGAATTTCAGAAGTTTTTAGTTGAACTTGTACAAAATACATATAACATATTGTTGGCATATTCCAAGCTTTTGTTTTCACATATGCCCTTTTAAAAGTATATGACATTTAAACATTTAGCGAAGTACTTTGCTTTTCACCTGGTTAGAAGGATGAAATATGCATTCACTTCATTTGCATTTAAAATGCAATGCCACATTTTACTTTCAAAACTTTTCATGCCATTACAAATTGCTAATTCTCTATCTAATGAATTAGACAATTTTCCTATACTCTACAGAGAACACAAAACCAAATCCCACCCCTTCCATCAGTCATCTTTAATGGCTTTATTATAGAAGATTTTCTTACCCCGTAAACAAGTTCTCCAACCATCCCATTCCAGATTTTCGTGTCTGCATCCCTCGCCCCATACTTGCCATCCCCAACAATTGTGAGCTTATATTTGAATCCACAGTGTTTAGCAATTTCTGTTGCTAAGTCCACACAGTAGCCCTCATATCGATCATTTCCTTCAAGCATTTCGTGATTTTTCTTCATCATGACATATGGGGACTCCTGCACAGAAAGAACTTGCCTTAGCTACTTGGTAGAGAGAGATGCATCAGTTGTACACTTCTTAGACTAACATGTTCCCTTTTATATGTGAAAAAAGAGAGAAGACACCATCTGAATCATTCATGCTACGTATATGTTAGCTGTTAATTATTAATATGACACGTCTTTAACAGATTTAAAAGCTGCATTCTCCACAGTCATACACAAATAACAATACTTACAGGCATAGCGATTTCCAGAAGTATGTTAATAATGACCATGAATGTTAACAGGAGTCATGCATTCAGAGAAGAAAGAGTAAATTCCAAAATCAGTTTCTTTCTCTCATAAAGTTTGGATGGAAGAAGGCAAAGGTATTTAGTTGCTTTTGTTGTCGTCTTAATAGAAGAAAATTATTTTCTATTTCACAACCACATCTCTCCCTGGGAAAATACTTCAGGCTCTCCAGGCTATATTTTTATTGAAGTACTTCACAAGCAATAGGCAATATATCTATAACTATGCACTAAAGTTCTATCATCAGCAAAATTGGTGATGAGTCATAAGTCATATTAATGTATCTCCTCTTTGCTCAACTGCTACAGAACTATTCTTGCATCTAGAGAAACTCCTATGCTAACCTCTAACTTATTCAAACTCATAAATATACTGTGTAACTTACAGAAAAACGCTGTTCTATGACAATACATAATTTAATTTTCTAAACAGCAGAATACAACTTTTAAAATTTTATTTTACACTTTACCCATCTATAGCAGCTACAATCCCAAAGCATAAGAACCAGTCTCTTTGCTGTTTATCAAAATCTATTCTCTAAAATTAACACTATGATTCTGCCTCTCAAAAAGTTCCTCTCCTTTGAAACCAGATATATAATTTCCATTTTCAGGTTTGAAAATCTTAACTTTCTAGGATTTACAACCAATGACTGTTTGTCTTCTACAGATCAAAACCGTATACTGAATCACATACACTTCCTTAATTTCCAGATTTTATTACATATCACAATGAGTAACAGTTCACAACTTCAAATAATAAAAAGACAATATATTTAAACTAACATAATGATGAGAAACAAATCATTGTAGGACAGACTGTCTTCTGACAAAATATGAAGTTAATTACCAAAATAGTGGTGACAATAATAGTCTTATTCTCTAGTCCCGAAGATTCATTTCCAAGAGGGCCATCAAGAGGATTCACAACCATTTTGTCCACTTCACTCCAATATCCAATCTAAAGAGAGTTTATAGGATGCACAGACACCAGTGAATATGAACTTTTATAGAAAAGGTAAAGCATGTTATTACTATGCCTTCAATTTGTACTTACAGAGAACTATTTCAGCTTTGGATTTACCAGTGTAAGTATTTCTATTTATATAGCAAAAGACTACAACAAAGAGTAAAAAGATTCAACTAATGACATCTGTTCATACTACTTTGTATGTAAAATAGGTTTACCATTTTTTATCCACATATTAACAGATTTTAATATCAATGTCACATACTGTAGAATTGAAAGGGTTATGAAATACTCCAGATTAGGAAGACACGAGAAACTGGCTTTTCCTGAAAGATTTGAAATTAGAGCAGAAAGATAAACACATTTATAAAAACATCACTGGAAAGCTGTATCTGGCTTTTGTCATTCAGAAGCATATTTCCCCAAATGCTGGTTCTAATTTAGCAATTCAAATCAGAAAACAAAAACTTTAATCCACAAAACTGAAAGCAAAATATTCTTATGTAGTACTTACCAGAAATAATAACTCATACTTGTTAGAAAGAAATAATACAGATTTTTACTTCGTTCTGCAAAACCATTGTAGAACACACCTATGAACAAATATTATCACAACTCATGCTTTAATTAATCTAATGTTTCATTACCTACCTTAACCCACTGCTTAGCATGGTAAAACCTTTTAAAACACTGTAAGACAATTGAAATTACCTTCCGAGGACCAGTACTTTTGAGTTCCATGACGTTAATTGTAAAATTGATTCTCTTTCCATTCTGATCAAATTTTATATTCCCTGTTAGACCTTCCACCTGAACCTATAATAGACGAAGATGAAAGTGGTAGAAGAATTAAGTTTGTTTCTTCTTAGAAAATGCATTTTGTATTTCCACAAATCATTATTGATATTTCAAAAACATTCAGTTTAGAATCTTTTTCATACGCAATATATTTTCTTAGACAAGTTCACAGGGACTTCACTTCCACATTATTTCCAGCAAGATCGAGGCAGATTAGGAGACTGGAGGATTCTTTTCAAGTATCTATAGGAAATTTCACACATGCACTCATCCCAGCATTCACTCCAGGGAAGCTACCTGTTTCAACGCCCTTTCTATTTCTACACCATGACCCCAGGGTACAGCTGGATTTGCAAGACAATCTCCAGCATTTCCTCTTCTGGAGATCTCAATCCTCTGTTTACGCAAATTACGGAAAGCTTCTGTCATCACTTGAACGGCATCATAGGTCAGAGCAGAGGTATACTGAAAAGAAGTGAAAATATTTAATTAAAAAACAGATTCAGTTTCACTACACCTTCCAATCCCCTTGGTAACCCATTGAACACAGAAACACATTAAATATAGAAAGGATAGTAAGATATACCTGAAATCAGTTTTTCTTTTGTTACCCTCTGAGGGGCATCTATGAAAATTAATGAAGTGTTCTCCATTCAGAATGGTTAGGGGCAGTGCAAATAAATCTAAACAAAAGATTTACAGCTGTTTTCAGTGTGAATTAAATTTCTTTCTCGCTATGTAACAGATACGGCTGGCAGTCCATGGAGGTGAAAGGGGAAAAAAGAAATTACTTCCACTATTTAACTTGAGTTAGCCGCTAAAAATAAGAAATTATTCCTCTGGTTACACTCTTCATGGAGATGCATTTATTTACAGATTTCTAGACTTCATCTCCTCCCACATATATACACACAAAACCCAACAGCATATATTTGTATATACTTATGCTCAAATTTTTTGCCTTAAATATAAAAACCCAGGGGGACCTATTTTCAAGTATGCAATACTTTGTCAACATCATGCAAAAATAGTTTTTGGGCTGAGATGCCTGGAAGAACTCAAGCCCCTCAAAGAGCAGTATAGGCAAGGAAGAGTCCCATGTTCCTAATCTGATATAATCTAAGGAGCTTTACAACTTCTGAGACATCAGAGAAGAATCCTGTGATCACACGCATCAGAAACTGGGGCTAAACAGTCATAAGCAGTTATCATCAGTGAGTGGAAAATTTTACATCTCAACTAACTAACTGAACTTAAACCACATGTGCACATACACTGAGGATTTTGTTGGATGGGCTTTATGAGCCAAGAACACTGCAATTATGCCAAATATAAGGACCATTTTTGGAAATACGGGCCAGAATATAACTACTTACAGGCTTATGGAAGAATGGAATGATCCCTGTGAAGGCTATTAGATGCTGAAAATATATAAACTGTAAAGCAGAGAGAAATGATATACTGGCTCTTTGCTTCAATGGCTCAGACTTTAATGAGAACTTTAATTAGTTAGCTCAAGTCATGCAGAAGGCTATTGTAATTGTAACCATGGCAAGATCCTGAATTGAGGTAGTTTTTGTATGCAACTGTTAGACCTTGGAAAGGAAGAAAAGGAAGGTAGAACTCTTTTTTTCAGATCTATAAGCTGATTGAGTGATCAGTGTGAACTTTCTCAGTAAAGTTTTCTCAGTGACTCGTACGGAAATCTTTAAAGGGATCAGAAGAGCAGAAGAATGAAGTGAAAGACTGGTTGGAGTCAATACTACTTTCTCCTACTGGAGTAGCAGTGATTAAATGTGTATGTGGATTTGGACATGAGATTTATAGAACCTTCTACAAAGACAGAAAGGACTCTGACTAGCAATACTTCCTTAAACACAGCTTTTTGCAGTACAGAAGCAGATTGTTCCACACTAGGTTCTGAGAAATTTTGGACACAGCACTGTCATGAACCACTGAACTACTACCTTGAGTAGTAGAGAAAATAAGAGCTTGAAATTGAGAAGTTATAATGCTATCTAATTCAGTTATTCTATGTTTCATTTGATCATTGAGATATATTTAATGTATTATCTCAAGAATATTATTCCTGTAGTATACAATCACTGGCCTGAATATTCACAACTGTATTCACAATACATTAGGTTTGTGTAGAGCTTTTTCTATCAATCTGTATCTGTATGTACATACATGTCATCACATATATAAAATCTACATGTCATAACTGAGGTGAAGACAACTTTAATCTAAAGATCTCAAAATATTTCACAAGCACTGTTTGAGATGCCATGAAAGCAAACAGCCCATGAATCATTTCTTACTGCTTTATTCTGCATACACTTTCAGCTCCTAATAACCTTCATGGGCTCATTAAAACTATCTACAGCTTCATAAATAGATGTAAAGTTGACAAACTAAACCTAAGTGAACTCATTACCATAAACAAGATATGACATACCAATAACCTGCTCATGCAGAGCAAAGAGGTGTCTGTGTGTGTGTGTGTCTGCATAATAAATGAAATGGTCAGAAGTTAAAGGATGCATTAGCCCTGTCTTGATTCACTTTGTTTTACTGGAGATTCACCCACATTCTGGTCTGCACTATTAAAATAAATGGGAGCACTATTTGGAACATTATTCTGTGGAAGTGGGATGGGGTCTTGCATCTTACTATTGTTATGGCAGTGTAAATCTCCCAACTTCATTTCAGTTCCTTTCAACTTTATATGATAATATCAGCAACTTTAATACAAAATGGAATAGGTACTATAGTAGAGATTCTACAGAATCACTTGCAATAACTAAAGCATGGCTAAGAATATGTAAAAAGAAAATCCTGCATGTCACAATTTTAGAACTATGATAATAATAAGCTGATAATATAAACTATAATATAATGCACTGAAATGGCTAAAGATTTTACGGCACTTGCTATGAAACACACATTGTATGAATGTCATATGAAAAGAATTTTCTCTAAGTAGATGCCCTAATTGCCAAGCAGAGAAAACATAAGGTCCAAGTGATTTTCAACTTAAATTTCTAACTAACTTCAACTTAAATGTTCTATAGACCTTAGTAAAATTTGTAAGCTGTAATTGCAAAGATGAATTTGAAAAGTAAAGACAAAACAAAGTCATCCCAGACTAAGCAGAAGATACTACTTATGCGCTGTCCAAGAAAAACTGGCAAGATGGTGCCTTTTGTAACTTCAGCTGTTTTCCACTAAATTCAGAAGATACCAGGAATCTTTAACTAAGAGGCCCAGTATTCTATTTTGTACAGTCAGTAACTGAATCTTTTGAAGATGAAATTGGAGAATACAACCCCAGAAGAAAAAGATTTTGTTTACGTATCTTTCAAAGTTGTAAGATATTTGAGCCTGTTTCTAAAGCTGTGTTTAACTCAATTCCTGTCCATGTGCTGAAGACAAAGCTGAGAGATATGATTAGACATCTAAAATATAACATTAAAAGAATAAACTTAAGCAGTGGAAAAAAAATATCTCAAGACATCAATGCAAAAAAGAGAAAAAAAGAGGAAAGTATTCTGAATCATAAGAAGTCGAATTGTTTTTCTCTTGATTTGGATATCTGCAATGTCTAAATCTATACTTACTGACTATAGTTTGGGTTGGTTTGTGGTTTTTTTTATGGTCAGAGAAGAGTAATAAGCATACTAAGGTGTGATTCATTTAAGCAGTTAGAAACCTTTTTGAAGAAGAAATTAGTTGTGCTTTAGATTCCACTATCTCGATCTCCAGTGATTTCTGAGACTACCAGAGAAGTCCAGGGTGATCAGCTTAGATACAGATATCTACATTGTAGACAAACTAATAACAAATTAAAACCACTCAAGGGGACTATGAACTAGCCATTCACCCCTAATCTAACAAAACAGTGAGAAAGACAAACAAAATAATACAAAAATGTTGGCAGGGACAAAGAATGCAGTGCTATTGTTCAAGACACTAGGGAGCCCTCAGCTAGAATAGCACATCCAGCTGTAGCAGTGCTCAAGAAGGCAGAAATCAGTCTGAAAAGAGGCAGAGATGGAGGTTCCTCACCATATATGGGGAACTGCTATTGGAACAGGAGGGGAAGGGACACTATCACTAACAGAGGCTAAGAGAAAAGAGGTCTAAAAATCTGATACAAATATTTTTCCTTGGAGAGAGGTAAATTTCTGACAGAGGTAATAAAGGAAAGGTTCTTTGTTGCAAGTGCAAGAGGGTAGAATCAGTAGGTGTAAACACACTTTCAGCATTTTTTCTTATATTTAAACAATTTAAATATACTTAAATACCAGTAAATATATATAATAAACTATAATAAAATCACTCATCTGAATTTTGTGCATTTTTCCCCCAATAAAGCACTTCTCTACTTGAATGCTCTTATATTCAACAAAAGCAGAAAGATTGATATAAACATTTCTACATTTTTAGAAATTATATCTAAAAACCAGGTATATACATATGTAAACCCACAAGCAAAAAGAAATGAGACACAAAGTTATTTGTCAAGATCCAGTAAAGGAACTGGGCAACTATCTCTTATTACTTCCAATGTAGTCAAACTAATGCTTAAGGGTCTTTCTTTAATCACTGTATCTGGAGGCTATTTTGAAACAGTGTTACACACATTTTGGAAATTATTTGAAAGTGGTCTGACAGATGAAAGAGTTAGTGGAAAATTCAGTGAAAGAGAGTGGAAAATTCACCAACTGATAGGAAATGGCTAACTCCTTCAGGATCTCAAGACACCTTGAATACTGTCATGACAGGGCATGGAAATGCAAAGAACTACTTTCAACGGAAATAAGAGACACTGTCAAATCTTGTACACATAAATGTCATTGTAATTTGACTGTGCCCAAAATCATGCTTTGTTTTCATCTGTTTTGTACAGGCAATAGTATGAATGGGGGTCTGTACACAGCAGCATGTTGAGCTGGTTGCCATTCAAACTGCAAATGGGCTTTAAGCACAGAAGCAGCTTCAATAACTATGGGCATGTTTCAAATACTGGGGCTGTGAGGTAGAGGTCAGGGAACCCAGAAAAGACAATGTCTGCCTCCTCCTCTTTGATCTTTATGTTAGGATGGAGCTCTAGTGAAAATAGTCAGTCATAGCAACAGACTCGCTTTCAGCTGAAAATAATTGCATATATACCCAAGACATTTGGGAATATTAATTGTAATTTTTTTTATAACGACAGTCCTGACTAAAGGGGGAAGAGAAATTAATAAAATGTAAAATTACCTGATCTTTAAAAAAACGAATTTAAACTAATATCAGTAAGAAGGGGTGTCATGTTTTCAGAGCCCCAAAATCCAATTCCTGAGTCCTAGCCCCCCTCCCACATCTCAACCCAGTGTGAGATGGGTTTTCCAGACACCACACGAGACTCAAAATGGGGGGAAAGGGATATATTACAAGACTGTACAACAAATAAATAGTAT